GCTTCTCCCTCGGACCCTCCCCCCTCTCATGTGCTCTCTCTCAAATAAATAAAATCTTTAAAAAAAAAAAACAACCTTTAGCCTTGTTGATTTAAAGAAAAATTCATTAATTTCTTTTCTCATTTTTCCTTTTCATTTCCTTGGGTTTAATCTATTTCTTTTTCTAACTTATTAAAATAGATGCTGAGAATGACATGGATGGAGCTAGAGGGTATAATGCTAAGTGAAATACATCAGAGAAAGACAAATACCGTATGATTTCACTCATATATGAAATTTAAGAAACAAATGAGCAAAGGGGGAAAAAAGAGGGGAGGGCAAACCAAGAAAAAGACTCTTAACCATAGAGAACAAACTGATGGTTACCAGACAGGAGGTGGGTGGGGGGATGGGTGAAAGAGGCGATAAGGATTAAGGAGGGCACTTGTGATGAGCTTGCATGGAAGTGTTGAGTCATTATATTGTACCACCTGAAACTAATATTACACTGTATGTTAACTGGAATTAAAACTTAAAAAGATTGTAAAAGAAGAAATAGATGCTTACTTTTTTTTTTTTTATAAGATTTTATTTATTTGACAGAGAGAGAGATTACAAGTAGGCAGACAGGCAGGCAGAGGCGGAGGGAGAAGCAGGCTCCCCGCTGAGCAGGGAGCCTGATGCGGGGCTCTATCTTAGGACGCTGGGATCGGGACCTGAGCTGAAGGCAGATGCCTAACCGACTGAGCCACCCAGGTGCCCCAAATGCTTACTTTATTTTTAGTCTTCTAAATATGTATTATAAATTTTTCAGTGCTCTGTGTCCCACAAGGATAATATGTGGCATTTTTGTTATTGTTATCAGTTACCAATATTTCTGTTTTCCATTGTAATTTCTTTTATTTATGGATTATTTAGAATGCATTTAATTCCAATATATAGGGAATTTTTAGTTTTCTTTTTGTTACTGATTTCTAGCTTAATTGCATCATAAGCAAAGAACATGCTTTGTATGATTTGGGTTCTTTGAGAGTTGACACTTTCTTCAAGGCTCAGCAAGTGGTCAGCTTTTGTAAGTGTCCCATGTGTGTTTGAAAAGAATGAATTCTCCAAATGTTGGGTGCAGTGTTCTATATATGTCAGTTAATAATGTCATTTAGATCTTATTATCTTAATTTGTCAGCTTGTTCTTTTAGTTATTGAGGTGTGCTAATCTCCCACCCTATGGATTTACCTATTTCAGTTGTAGATGGGGCAATGAGAGATGCAAAAGTACAAGAACAAAAGTAGGGAAGTCTTTTTTCTTTAGCCAAATCATGGGGAAAAATGGTATCTGGAAAACCAGTAGGAAAAAACATAACGAATGGTGAGGATGCCTTATTTTTAGAAGAGCAAGCTTCCTGTGGCAACATGGAGAAGGGCAGACAGACATGGTGGAACTGAGGAGTCAGCTCAGTCAGCAGCACAGAATTGGGAATTGTGTTCATTTGACTTTAACATCAGTGATCCGATAAATGTGGGACTGAGGATAGAGATCATAGGTTAAAATTGTGTTTGTTTTAGCGCTGCTGGGACATTGCCTTGGGTCCCCTCAAGCAGATTCCCATGAACCTCTTCATCATGTACATGGCAGGCAATACGATCTCCATCTTCCCTACTATGATGGTGTGTATGATGGCTTGGCGGCCCATTCAGGCACTTATGGCCATTTCAGCCAGTAAGTATTCTTGATACAACAACCCTTCCTTAAGTTTTAAGAATTAAAGACAAATATTAGTGAAACCCATGAAAATCTTTAGTACTGCTCTTGGCTAGTGGCCAGGGGGAGGGTGTGCAGGGTGGTGATGGTAGAGGTGGTGGCGTGGAGGAGGGAAATGGAGCTTATCATGGCTTTTTGTTCACTTTTAATGGTCCTATTTGCTATTTTACTTTGGGTCTATGTTATTTTAAAATATGGCCTGATTCATATTAAAAAAAAAAGTTGTTTTGGGTTTGACACTTTTTGTTACCCCAACAGCTTTCAAGATGCTAGAAAGTTCAAGCCAGAAGTTTCTTCAGGGTTTGGTGTATCTCATTGGAAACCTCATGGGTTTGGCATTGGCTGTTTATAAGTGCCAGTCAATGGGACTGTTGCCTACACATGCATCAGACTGGTTAGCCTTCATTGAGCCCCCTGAGGTAAGGCAAAGGAAAAGTTAAATTTGGGGCAGTTGTAATGTAAATAGCAGACCCATTTGATGGTGGGGGATTTGAGTTGGTACTAGAGCTTATTTGTTAAGAAATAAGATCCCTTGGGAGTTTGGAAGTTGTTACTTTTTTAAGGATAAAGCTAAATAGAGCCTGTGATTAAATAAAGAACTTGATTCTGTAAGTTAGTTCAACACCAATTCACCAATCACCTATTTACCTTGTTTCAGAGGATGGAGTTTAGTGGTGGAGGATTGCTTCTGTGAAGAGGAGAAAGAAGCACCTGGTGCCTGTGTATCGGGATCTCATTTACAACCTTCTTTTGTGCCCAGTGGCTCCTTCTCAGCATACTAATTCTTAAAGTTATCACTCATGCTGAACAGAACCAAAGCTCTCTTTACTCCATGGTGAGGAGACGAATCCCAGAAAGACAATGTACGTATCACTCCAAACACACAAAGAAACTATACCACAACCCTTGATTGAAAATAATGTAGAAAACTTTATTTATGTTTCCAGTACAGAGCAAAACAACAAATAAAACTGTAACTCTATGTAAACAAAATGGTTGCTGCTAAATCAAGAACCACAGCAGCATCTCCTTTCAATAAATTAAATGGTTGAGAACAATGCTTAAAAAAAAAGTTGCACAAGTTTCCCTTAACTCTATTTTCCTTAATGTTTCACTTCTATTTAACACAAGCTGGAACATAAAAATTCTGTTGGAGACACTGTGGAAGATGTGAGAAACTAATGCTGGATTCAGATTATACATGATGAAAAGAAAAATAAACCAGACAAAAAGAGTACATAAATATGCTTACAGTGTAATTGCTACTTTAACATCCACAATAATGGATTTTTAACACATTTAGGGGGAGTGAGGATTGGCGGGCTAGTTGGGGCCACAGCAATCTGAGGCAAAGGAAGATACACGGTAATGATCTTTCCCCTGCCAAGAGGAACCGGGCCCCTGTTGAGCAGATGCTGCAATTCAAACCTCAGCTTTTAAGATAGCTTTACAAGGCAGAAGGCCAGCAGCTGGAGAAGGTATATTGTCATAGTCTGCCCTGGTAACTCTTAGCTAAGACTTAAAAGCTGGATCTTAGTCAGAAGGCAGGAAGAGGTCTTTCCTTTCTCTTCCTTCTTGAAACACAAAAGCCCTTCCCCTAAGGTGCATTCTCTCTCACCAAGTTTTCAGTATTGCTTTATTTGCAGTGATTAGAAGAGACAAGACACTTCACAGACGAACAACATAAGCAACACATGGACGTGAAATGCTCTAGACAGAGATGAGTTTAAATCTGGCCTAATAACCATTTTCCCATGTAATGGTGATTTTATGTTTTAGGGGCTGAAGTAGTGGCTGTATTAATAGCCACTCACTCCCTTATCCCTTTGAAAGATTCTTACAGAGCTCCAACCACAAAAAGCTCTTCTAAAACCTTGTTTTCTGCCCATATTTTTTCTATATGGAAAAAAAAATATATGTATCAACCACTTTGGCCAGAGGATGTGTGTAAATGTAGAGGAATTCCTGGGCAGGCTGACCTTTAAAGCATGGGGGCTTCAATATCTTGGTCCTAGAGAACCTGTTCCACTACTGTGGACTCAACTAAACAAGAGTATTACAATGGAAATTTTAACCCTCTGCAGGAAGGAGCAGGAAAAAAGACTTAAAGATCGTGTTTGTTTTGCTACCCTGACTGGGTCTTGAGGTTGAAAAAAGAGCAAAGGGAACAAAATACTCAGTTTCTTAAGCCATACTGAAGAAAAGGTTTTCTCTGTCCATAAGAGTCCAATGAATAATCTGCTGGGACCTAGGTTTGCTTGCTCCATATCCTGTTGGGTGATCAAAGAAGAGTGGCAGTATTTATCATTAAAAAAGTGATTGAAGAGCAGTCATGAATACAGGCAAAACAGTTTTTCTAAATACTTATCCTATAAAAGAAAGGACCATTTCACATATTTGCAATTACCACTCAAGGTAGTTTCCCTATGCTTGAAAGCTAGGTGTTTTATGACCAGTAAATTAAAATGACCAGTAAATGTTTTATGACCAGCAAATAAAAAGCTAAGCTTGTACGAGTACTTCCTTGACACATTGAGAGCTTTCTGAAAACAACTGGAATAGCAGAGGACTGTTGGCTTGGATAATCTTGGTTCAGAGCCAAGTTCCTGCCGTCACAATGAAGAATAAAACTGATAAAAACGCTCATACTCCGGACATTTAGATGAGTTGAGTGCCTCAAGTCTTGGCTATGGCTTTGGAAATGAGTGCACAGGTTTCTTAGTGAAAAATAAGTTTCTTGAGTCAGGTCAATGCCAATCGTATGCCACTTTAGTGAAGCAGGTAGGGAGAGTAGCAGCAACTCAATCTTTGGCACTATGGAAGGAGTATGGCTCTAGAACTTCGAATTCCATTGCTGGATTCCCCCTTTAAAAGATAGTTCAAAGCTTTTAGGGAAGGATTTTAGCCAGTCTTCCTAGTTTATTCCTATGATTTTGGACCTGTGCCTACTAACCCAGAGGGCATAAAAGAAAGGAGAGGCGAAACTACTGGTCAATGTGCATCATCATCTAGATTTCTTGGACAACAGCTTGCTTGTTTTGACCATGTCGCACATGGTAACCACAGACTGTTTCAGTAGATCTTAATTTGGAGTTAGGGTACCCTAATTTGGCCATTTGAAAAGAACCTGAAAGAAATTCTTTTTACTCCACCTTTAAAAAAACAATTTCCAGGATAACAATGCGTGTATTACAATCTTAACCACAGACTGGGTTTTGAGAACCAGCTGACATATAAACCGACATAGTATGTGTACTGGAACCTGGTATTTTGGGGGAATCTTGTGTTGGAGGAAGAAGTAGAGGCTGTAGCCATGTTTCAGTTTTTGTATAGTACCCTAATATAAAATAGAGTCCTGGAGAACAATGGAAACATTAAAGAAAATTAGCTAAAAAAGATTTTCATCTTGGTTTGCCACAGGTTATCTCCACAAGGATGTTAGGTCCCCACATACTCGGCCATGCATTCTTTAGTATGATGAAGCTGTGTCTCTGGCTGTTACCCCCATGGTGTCATCATTGGACCATGACTTCTGAGACTCCCCTTTAATGTTGGACATGTACTTGCTTTTTGTCTTCTTGAATTTCTAGCATCCCTTTTGCCAACTCATTTTAATGGTTTAGCCTGTTAATTCTAATTTGCCTTCAACTAGTACAGACATGGCTTTTAGGACTTGACCAGTGTTCTGATGTTGAGGAAATATCTGCTTCTTCTGTAAGGACAGCAGATTATATGATAGCAAAGAGCAGAACTACGTGTACTTTTTTGCACAAGTACTCGAGGCTCAGCTTGTCAAGAGTTCAGTGTGATGTGTACAGAACCCAGGCCTCTACTTGATGGGAGTAGTAGTAAAGAGCTGGCACTTCCATGGAGAATGGAAGCCTTTTAGGAAAGGTGAGGCCAAGCAGTGTCTTCAGGAGTAGATTATGAATAAATGGTGATTACTTCACTGCCACCACCCCGGACAAGGAGGACTCGCTCTAGTCCCTCGGTGAGCACTTCTAGGAACTCCATGTCTTCCGAATTTGTCAAGGAGACAAATGGGGAGAAGAACACACTTTATAACCTGACATGATAATCGAGGTTTATCTGACTGCAAAGCTGCAAAATTAACATACTTGTTTTCATTATTATATATACTCAGAGTTGGAGACGTCCGAACTCTGGATTTAATTTAACCCTGTGAAATAATCCAGGGATCTAATTCCTTTGCATATATAATACAAGACCTTCATTTGTTAGACTTTTTTCTAAATGTAACTTTACAAATGGGGGTAACTCACAAGTAATGTGTTTGTACCACAGCAAAATAAGCCAAAAAAGAAGAAAAGGCCACAACAGGGCAGCTTATAAGACTGCTCGAGAGAACCCAAGTAATTTCTAAGTGAAGCTGCTCAAATCAGATTTTTCTGCCAGTTTTTTTTTTTTCTTAATCTCTTCTCCTTAATGGTACTGATGGGAATGGGCCAGTCTATACCATTGCATTCTTGAAGGGGTCCCATTAAAAAAATCCTGTGATCAGGGTATGAGGAAAAACCCTTATCTCTTTTTTCCCCTTAGAGGAGATTTCACTTAAACTGCTTCTCCCCTAACTACATCCACAAGAAAGACGCTTTGCAAAGTGGGTGGAGCCTGAGAAAAGGAGAAAGGATGTGGGTATTGCGTCTCTAGGACTGTTTCAGAAAGGATTCTATACTGTGAATATTAGAAGTCATGTTGCAAATTTACCACCTAAAAAGTCTCTTTAGGGTTCAGAGAGAACATATATACCCAGCTCCCCCAAAGGAGATCAATCTCACTGCTGTGTAAGAATCCTTGCCTAAGACTTTTAACAGCCTTTCCTCCTTGAGAAGGAAATATGGGCACAGACAATGACTTTTAAGGTTACCTAGTGGTCTTATCTAAGAAACAGGCTAAGACTTTCCCTACTGGTAGCTCCATTCTTGGAAAGGATACAGTTTTCATCACCCTCAGGGTTTCGGGGTGGCCCTGGCATATTCAACAAAACCAGCTTTGCTTCGTGGGACTTGTTAACTATAACCTCATTGAGTTTCACTGCCGTATGCATCCGCCTCACATTGGAATGGTCTCTGGACGGGTGGAAGGGAGAAAGAGAGGTGGTTAAGGCAAAGAGAAAGCTAGGCATATAGTCAACTTTAAAAACCTTGAGATACAGAACTTTTTTGCTTTGACTATGAATAATGTAGTGAACAAATGATTTCCTTATACTAATATTCTGGGTTTTCTCATTCTACATTTGCTTGTTTTATTCCAGGAACACAGTATGGTGAGAAAGAAGGGTGGTTAGCTTATGCACAATGTTAACTGGTAGCTGATACGCACAGGCAAATAACAGAGAGATGGCTGGATTTGGGGTGAAATGAAGAACAGACCTCATCCTGTGTATCCAGGCAAAGTCACATGTGTGCCACTGACTAGGATACCATATTACATGATAAGCTTGTGAGTTGGAAAACTTACGGACGCATGTTAAGCAGGTCCTGGAATCCTTCCATCGACTTAGCCTTTTGTCCCCGGGATGCCATGTACTTGTCTTTTGTCCAAGTCATGTGCACCTTCTCCTGATAGGTTTCTGTCTCTTCATCCTCATCAGAGCCAATGCTGGTCAATCGCAGCATTGAGTTCCGGTCTTTCACCAACTGTGCCTGAGAAGGGCCCAACATAGCTATGACCTCTGTACCCAATTCCCTCTCATGCTTCAGCTTCAATTATTTTCAAATAATAATGTGGTTATAGTGAAAGAACTGATAAAGGGAGAAGGAAAGAATGTGTCATTCTATGAGAACAATATAGTATCATCCCTCTCAGGGACAGACTAGCATTCAATGAATACAGGAAGGTCTCACCTCTCTGTCCCTCTCTGTTTTGGACAGTCGCATGTGCCGGAGCATCTGGGACCTTTGCTCCATCATCAGGGTGCGCTCATAAGTATAAGCAGATATGTCACTGTCATGCTGCCGTAGATAACACAGAGTGGGCAATAAGCACAAAGGAGAAAGAAGGATGAACCATACACTTTCATGTCCACTCACTAAATTAAGCCAGAGAAAGTATCACAATATCAACCTAAGTTTCACTCCTATTTTCTTCAGTTACTGAGCTATATAATATTATGGACTGTAGAGCAAATCTAGAAGCCCTGAGAGTCTTTTCCATAATCCAACCATTACATATACGTTTCCTTGAAACAAAATACAAACTCTAGTCTTTTTTTTTTTTTTAAGACTGCTAGGTTATTATTAAAAAAAAGCACTATGTGTGATTTTAACATGCATATATGAATTAAAACTTGATAAAACCATATTAAGCAGACAATCTGGTAGAAATATAAAGGCTGTATAACAAAAGAGCAAAAATAAAAACCACCGAATACACAACACATTCATATTCTACTTATCTAGATCAATATATTAGGGCTTTGTTGGAACTAAGGGATTAATCCACATTTGCAGCTGAACAATTTCCCAAACCAAAAAAAGTTCTAGGAAGACAGGGTAGGAAGTGGGGGAAGGGTGGTCTGTTTGATCTCAAACTCCGCTTTCTCACCATCTCTACCACTTCCACCTCGGCCTCGATGCGTAGGTGGTAGAGGAAGGTAGCCAGGTCCTTCTTCATCTGAATACTGTTGTCTTCTAGTTGGGCTACTGTGAAGATCCGAATGCTACATTTTCGCCACACCTGAGAAAGTACCATACATACATGGAAAGTGAGATGCAAGAAGGCCAAAAAAAAAAAGAGTTATTCCTAAAACACAAGACATTTTTTGCTTTGGACAACCTTGCTATAGTATCAGGATATTTGTTGTTCTTAGCTTCTAACTTGATATACTATTGTACGAAGGCAAAAGCTTAACTAAAAACACATTAAAAACAGCTTTAAGAAGTTCTTAATTTCCTAACAAGAAGAAAACTGGCAAAAGGGGATATATATACATTAAGAGGGTGCTGTATTCAGATAGCATATTGATGCCTCATGCAGACTCTAATATTTATTATTTTAAAGTTCAGTTTAACTAGTCTTACCAAAGGATGAGCATACCTATGTATAAGATACCCACACACCCAAACATAGGTTTCCAGCATTTGAGAGACTTTGGTCTTTTTTTTTTTTTTTAAAATGGACGTGTCACTTCTTAATGTTTTTCCAAGAGCTCATATGGAACTTTATTAACTTGCTGAATTTCACTTAGAGATAGGTAGGTATCAACTAGAAAGAAAACTACTTCTCATACGGTTGAAAGTAGGATCACGGGAAAGCTAAGAAAAATCCCCAACTCTTCTGATCCTAAGCCCCAACACTATAATCAAAGAGGAAACATCTGTCTAGTGAACCAGGACGATATCAAGGGAGAAAGACTTTTTTCAAAAGGTATCTAAAATACCTTGTGCTGTTTAAGTAGGAATGGTAATAACATGAGCATCCCCCCATCATGCACAATCCACCACACATCAATGTTGCCCTCAGAAAACTGCTCCACATTGCTGGGAAAGAAGGAGATGTTTTTAGCCACCAGCAGGGCCAGATGGGCAGCAGTTGTCACTCGAACTGTGCCTAGGGAGAAAACAGAATCAGGATAAACAGAGAAGACTCCTGAGGCTTGCCTTGCTTCCCACCATGTCAGGAAAGCAAGGGTAATGCGTTTTTTTTTTTTTTTTTTTACATTTCTTTAAGCAAGGTATTCTGTTTACATAGTGGGTTATACCTCATCAAGTAACAACAATCATTAAGAAAAATCTGAATAACTAACAGAATTAGATTCAGAACCATGATTTATATTACTAGATATATGCTGATCACTACATTTCTAAGGGGGGGTTATGTGAATTCTGGAGATTTTGATGAAAGACCATCCTTCCAATTCCTGTGAGAACATCAATGAGGCAGATCACAAATGAAAATAGGGCAATTTCAGAGATAATTCCTAGTATAATACTCGACAGAGATAAACAATTCATGAACATAATATAAAGCTGGAGGGGGTGAGGAGAATAGGATTATTACTGTTAGTAGTTACTTAGGTGCCCTTATGGGACTATGCTTCCGCAACGGCACGGTCTCTACTTTAGGCTATGGGGTAGGGTTAAGGCAACAGAGGTTTAACTGTAATCCCTATTTGGGCCCTCAGGATAAAATGAAAAGTGTTCTGTACCGATAAAAGTCTTCCACGCTCGAGCATCTTCACTCTGGCGCCAGCCATTAGGCCATCCCATCACCACCGTGTTGTGCTTCATGCCCCCAAGGCCACATGACTGGATGAGGTGGGAAATGCCCTCCCTCAGCTTGGCCGCCACCACCAACTGGCAGAACCCCTTCACCTTCTCTGCCTCCATTAGATGCTTTATGGTCTGAAAAAGAGAACCTCAATGCTGAATTGCTTCACCCTGAACCTTTTAATCTATTACTCCTTGTCTTATATTCTCCTCCTCTTTTCCAAACTCTGCTTAAGACCGTATTTCCTACAGAAAAGTCCAAAAAGTAAAATTAGCCCAATGGAATTTCATTATCCTTTGCCTTTTTCACTCTCTAAGTGCTTACTACATATATTGCTGGTTGACTACAGCAATGGAGTTCCTCTGCCTTTTCCTCTATTCTGCTTTCCCTTCTTTGTAACATACCAAACAAATCAAGAGCAGGGATCTTTGTAAAACAAATATTCCATATTCTTTCTTAACTGGCCAGGCTGAGTGTGAACATGATCTACTTCCTTCCTCAATCGCCCTGATACCCTGACTCGTATTATTAGAAACTCAATCTGATGATTCAGTTTCACTTAAAAATTTTCTCCGGTATGTTTGTTTTTTTTTTTTCGTTTCTCCTATTTCCATCTGTTTTGGTATTTTAATGGTGACTATTGATGACCCTTGTCTTTGCTTTGCTATTATTTATTCAAGCCAAGTTGGAGATAATACTTCATTTACTCTCTTAGTGGAAAGATGAAGGGAATAATGGTGTAGAAAGAGGACAGGATTTTCCTGAAGGCACAGATGAAGTCAGTGATGTAGCAAGGGTAATAAGCAAGCTTTACTGATTTCCAATCCTGTGCTTTTTATTTATTTTTACCATCATTCCAGACTAGTGTTTCTTCAAGCATTTCTAGTTTTTAGGGTTTCAAAGTATTCCAAATGAAATCCAGTAAAATTTTTGAAATAAAAGGGTTGGTTTTATCATTTATAATAAGTATTAGAGTGAAAACTGCTTTCTTCTTTAGGGAGAACTTATACTTGGCAAGTTAATCAGAAGTAAAGCAAAAGAACCTTGCTCATGATACCAAGGTAGACTGGTAAGGAGAAAGGAAAGTTGTTCATTGCTCCTTGTCACCAGATTGAGCAGAACCATCTCCACGGTTCAAGGGACAGATTTATTTACTTGACTTCTCTGAGGCCTGAGTCAATGTTTAGAGTCTACTTGCAAACAGTGCTTAGCCTTGACAATCTTAAAAGTTTAGTAATGCTTTTTAAATGGAAAAAATAAATTATTATCTTCGGTTCATCTTCTTATTTGGGAGAATATGATTGTTCAAAAGTCAGCACAAAGAAGGAAACCTCCTAGATCACTCAGGAAAGGGATTAACTTAGAAATATGACATCTAACAACTTAACATCACAAAACCAGAAGCTAAATTCCACTAAGTCAATAAGCCTTGACTCTTACCTGCTCAGCAGCTAAAGCTTCCCCGTAGTTCTCCAGGAAGTTCCCCACGATGACAGAGCCCACAATAGTGAGACCCTTTCCTGCTTTAAGTTGTGAGGCAAAGGTGAGGAGGCGAGGATGCTTGACGTGTAAGTCCTCATCTAATTTCAGCAATACAAGTAACTGAGGCCTGCAGAGAGATTGGTGGGAGGGTGGAAGGGAGAAAAAACTTTGGGTTTGGGGAACAGAATGACAATTCTACCCTTTAATTCAGGAGATCTATATAAAACTGTAATTGGGCAGAAGGAAGAGATTAGAGAAAATGATAGGATGAGGGTGTAGTTTATTTCAATCCTCCCAGTATTACCACAAATTGATCATTCTGCAAGGAACAATAAAAATAGCTGAAGTCTAGACCAGATATCCCATGAAGAAAAGAGAATAAAGTATGAAGGATTTGGAATCATTCAAAATGGGTCCATTATACCAATTCCTTGAGCCACCTGAATTCCTTATCCTGTAATCACAGAAGCACATAGTTGTGTGTGTTAACCATGTGCCAAACACTACACCACTAAGCTCTACTGATTTCTTTACCTCCAGTTTTTAGTGTGTGGCGGTCCTTCTTCCAGCCGGAGCAAAGCAAACCGGGCTGCACTGAGGGACAGCCCACGGATTCCATCACCCCATTCTTTCTCCGCTCTGGGAGACAAAAGAGAAAAAAGCAGAGACAGATTTCAACTATAGCAAGTACAATTTCAAAACATAAAGTTTATTTTTTCTTTATCTAAAACTAACATATGCACAAGGAAGAAAATTAAAACTCATTATTTATATAATGCTCTTTATTAACATAAGGAACCCACCAAAAGCAGATCCACACTGTCCTTCATCAATGGACCACACTGTACAATAAACAATTCAAAATAAAGGCTGGAAGTATCACTCACTTGTCCTTCTATGTAACTGTTCAAAAGCAATAATGCAAAACAGCTATTTGGAGAAGGAACTTACGACAGACCCAAAGTTTAATTTAATTTTGAAAATAATGGGGAGAAAGCAAAACTCAATGTAATCTTCTGAACCAGTGTTATTTATTCCTAAATTTTGCAAGGTGTTTCTGAAGTCTTAGTTGTTATAGTTATTCAGGATTAATTTCTTTTTCATTTCAGAGATAATACCTTGACTGAAGAGATAAGCAAAAATACTTATATTTGTGTTATACTTTAATACTCATCATTATTATTTTGACAAGTCCTTTAAGCTACTTTTTTCACTGATCTGTTCATACTTTCTCAATGGGTTCCCCTTGTTGATTCTGTATGTTTGTGTCTGTAAGATGGCTAAAAGAATTGGGGATACAAAATTTAGTTACAGATGAATGAGGTTATCTGGATCCTTACTGCAATTTTCATTGGGCTGGCTCTACACAAACTAGGCATTTTGATACTTTTAGCAGTAATCAAGGTCAAATCCACAGACTCACCCTTGGTACTCGATGTACTTGTAGATCATACCAGCTATTACCATAGCTACGATGGCGTAATACCAGGAAGAAATGAACATCAGAGCCAGACAGATACTCATTCCCATGAAAGAGAGGGCCCTAGAAAATTAAAAACAAAACACAAACAAGAAAGTGTTTTTCTAAGCAGCTTAAAAAGAAGCCTGTGCTAGAGATGCTTCTCAAACTGGTGAGGGATTGCTAAATTCCAATATATTGCAGACTGAACTTCTGTAAAACGCAATAAAAATGAGTTATTAGAAAAATTACTACATGCCTGGATGCTGTGAGAATGTCAAATTGCTATAAAAGTTTCAAAATATTTTTCTCAATTTTTTTTTTTTTAAAGATTTTATTTATTTATTTGACAGAGAGAGACAGCGAGAGAGGGAACACAAGCAGGGGGAGTGGGAGAGGGAGAAGCAGGCTTCCCGCGGAGCAGGGAGCCCGATGCGGGGCTCGATCCCAGCACCCTGGGATCATGACCTGAGCCGAAGGCAGACGCTTAACCGACTGAGCCACCCAGGCGCCCCTATTTTTCTCAATTTTTATAGTTGTCTTATCATGGACTGCAATAGTCGGTAGATCTGCACCGAGGCCCAAACCATCCTTTGTGCTGATGTTTCCCATTGCTGGGAAAACATATAAATGAACAGGATTAATGAAAGTTATCCGTAGTTGTGAGGATAATTAATGCCTAGTTGGCAAAGCAAGGATGGGGCATGTAGTCAGAATTATTAACATGATCTTTTAAAAAAAGTATTTCATGTAAATATTGCTTAAAACCGTATTAACATTCATTAGCATACATGCAGAACCCACTGAAGGAAATCTGCCATTAGTTTCCTTACTTTACATAAGAGAAACCTGGCAGAGGGGCACCTGGATGGCTCGTGGGTTAAGCATCCAACTCTTGATTTTGGCTCAAGTCATGAACTCAGGGTCCTGGGATCGAGCCCTGTGTTGGGCTAAGTGTGGAGTCTGCTTAAGAGTCTTTCTCTCGGGCGCCTGGGTGGCTCAGTTGCTTAAACGACTGCCTTCGGCTCAGGTCATGATCCTGGAGTCCCTGGATCGAGTCCCACATCGGGCTCCCTGCTCGGCAGGGAGTCTGCTTCTCCCTCTGACCCTCCCGACCCTCCCCCCTCTCATGTGCTCTCTCTCTCTCAAATAAATAAATAAAATCTTTAAAAAAAAAGTCTTTCTCTCGGAGTGCCTGGGTGGCTCAGTCGTTAAGCGTCTGCCTTCGGCTCAGGTCATGATCCCAGGGTCATGGGATTGAGTCCCACATCGGGCTCCCTGCTCAGCGGGGAGCCTGCTTCTCCCTCTTCCTCTCCCTCTCCTGTTCCCCTTGCTTGTGCTCTCTTGCTCCGTCAAATAAATAAATAAAGTCTTTAAAAAAGAAAAAAAAGTCTCTGTCTTTCCCTCTGCCCCACCCCCCACTTGTGTTCACTCTTTCTCACTCTCTTCTCTCTCACTAAAAAAAAAAAAAAGAGAGAGAGGAGAGAAACTTGGCAGAGAATGATGGAATGCCTGTTTTGATCAAATAGATCAGGTAGACAACCATGCTTACTGAAGTTCTACTGTGTACAGAATGAACTTCTTAGCTCCATGATGAATTTCAAAAAGAGTGAACGGAGAAAATCAGATCTAATAAAAACATAGGAGAAGGAGGGGTGCCTGGGTGGCTCAGATGGTTAAGCATCTGCCTTCGGCTCTGGTCATGATCCCAGGATCCTGGGATCGAGCCCCACATCGGGCTCCCTGCTCCGCGGGAAGCCTGCTTCTCCCTCTCCTCATGCTCCCCCTGCTTGTGTGCTCTCTCTGTCAAAAATAATCTTTAAAAAAAAAAAAGAAGGATAAAGGGAAAAGGTAACAAAAGCAAAACAGTAACACAACAGAGTTCATAGTGAACATTTAATTAAGGTTAAAGCTAGAAGGAAGATTAGAGGTGATAAAATCAGTGAGGATCTAAATTTTTGCCACATAAAGGTCACACTCCTGCCCATCACTGGTAAACGAAGTCAGGAAAGGATCAAGGAGGAAGTTAGCACAGAGGAATGTAGCAACAGGTGCCTACAGGACATATTAAAGAACCTTTAGCTAAGACAGGAAAGAAAGGAGGAGATGGGATGGTAGCTAAAAGCGTGATGACTCCCTTAAGACCGAGGAGACGTGAACTCAGCAGCAGCTGTCCAACGTTTCACTGAGAGCTTTACTATGTAGTAGGCACTGTGCTGAACGCTTCAGATCATCTCAAAGCAACCCTATGAGACAGGTAATACTATCAGTCCCATTTCACAAATGAATAAAATTAAATTTGATGTAGTTATGTGCTTTGTGAAAAGCTACAAAACCAGGAAATAGAGCTGACACTGAGCTAAGGTCATCTGACTCCATAGCTCATACTCTTACCTGCTACATGAACCTCCTAAGGAAGAGAGAGTTCGAGAATGAAAACTGATGAGAATAAAGATAGAAAGGGGTGAAGTCCAGTGCTTAGCTAAGAGGGAAATGGGAAAACAGATATGCAAAGGGTAGGCTGGTTTAACCTGAAGAATGCAGCAGGCTGGAAATATTTATTTCACAGTTTTGATCTTTAGTTTCAAGTGGGTGTTATAAATTATAAAGTGACCTATGAAAAAACACGGTAAAGTGGTGGAAATTCAGGTAATCACTGAAGTTGAAACAGGCAGTAGGATGGCTGGCCAAGAAAAATTGTATTAACCACCCAGAATCTCCTAGTTTTCTAGTTCAATGATGGGTTTTCTCCAAATGTGGGGAAGAAGAAGAAAAAGAGCAGACTTACCAGTGGTAGTAGCGGAACCGGGGTCTCCAGTTGGGTGTTCGAAGTAATGTCTGCAATGCACATGCCAAGTTCACAAAGAGGTAACACATGAGGAAAAACCTGGCAGAATATAAATAGTAAGAGGCATGATTATTATTGTAAAATGATTCTCCAAAGGCTATTATAGATAAAGACCTTGTTGTTCTAGCCCACTAGCCTTTGATTAAGACTAGGATGTAGAGAACTTTAACTTCTCCCCACGAACTTGCTCATTTGCCTGTGTTCTCTCTCAGTGAAAGACATTACCCAGTTGCTCTTGGGATAATCCGTTTCCTCATTGTCACTCATCCTTGTTCCAAATTAACTTATCAAGTCCTATGGATTCTACCTATTTTCACATTTTTAAACCTTTCCCCTCCTTTCCATCTCTACTATTATCATCTTAGTTCAGGATCCTTTTCTTCCTTGCTGGATTAAATAAGCTTCCAGCTGGCATTCCCAGCTCAATTTTAGCCTCCTTTTCACTTGTCTTTTATAGCAAATTATCATTCTAAAACATAAATATGATCATTCTATCCTCAAAGGATCACTCACTACCTCCAGGTAAAAGTTCTGGGTCTTTTGTGACCTGGCTCTAGCTACTTCTCTGCTCAGCTGCCCCCGAACAGGCACGCTCCTTTCTATCAAAGCCAAACTACTTTGAATTCTCAGATGTGCTGCGTTGTTTCAATCCTCAATTCCTTTACACACATTCCGTGTCTGGGACATCTCACTCTTTTCGTTGCTTACTAAATAACCAGTCCTCCTTCAAGATGCAAGTGTCCCTTTCTCCAGAAAACCTTTCTTGAGTCTCAGTCCATTTGGGTGCCTTGCTGTAGAGCTCTTACGCAGTGTTCACCTTTACCACAGTTCTCATCACACTACACAAGGATCACTGGTCTCTCCATCATTGGTTCCTTAGGGTTGTGTCATCCATCTCTGTATTCCTAGCATGCTGCCCAGTGCCAGGTGGGTAATTAAGTCATCACTAAGTCGCAGTTGAAGGATCAAAGCTAAGAGTAGCAGTGAAAGCTACAATCAACTGGTAATAAGAAATGAAGGCAAAGAACTTGTGAAGTTATACCGGTAGGAAGAAACCATGACAACTTATAAAAGTTAGTCTTACTTGAAACTTCTTAGGAATATGTATTATTTAGGTGAAGTTACACCTGTCCTTGGCTCACTCTTTTATCACTACTGTTATATGCCTGATGGAAATCAACATGTATTATACATCATATAAGCAAGAAAAGTAAAGAGAAGAACTGGCTCTTACATAGAAAGAATTGGGGCCACAAGATCCAGGGAGGCGATAAGAATCCCCAGCTCTGCAATGGCAGCAGTTAGAAGTAAAGCCCAGGTAGGTTCCCCGTTGGCTTTACTGTGACCAAAAACCTGTATAGAGAAGGGAAATATCAGACACAGGTGTGTGGGGAGTGCCAGAGTCAATGCTCCCTGATTCCTCTATGCCACAGTTTCAGGTATATGAAGGATAATAGTGTTACCAACTTTGGTATCTTTTAAATACCTTTACCCCACTCATATATAAACTCATCCCTCACAGGGATTTAGAAGGTCTTGTACTAAAAACCCACATGTCTTCACATTATATGATCTAATAATTCCTAAGCCTATGAAGACCACGGTTTCTCATAAAATCTGAGGAAAAGGAAATAGGGTATGGGAAAGGGTTACTCACCCTCAGAAAGGGTATGATGTTATCCTTGGCTATAGCCTGTAGCAGTCTTGGTGCACCTGTGAGACTCTGAAGTCCAGCCCCACATGTTGAGAAGAAGGAGCCGATGACAATCACCCATGGGGACGGCCAAGATAAGGTACCCACCACCAGATTACCTTTCACAGCATCCCCAAACCTGGGAAAGAAATGGGAGTGCGGAAATTTACCTACAGACTGAAAGACTAGAGAGACATTCACCTAATTTTTTTCTATTTATAATCTTCAGAAAATTAAAATTGAGACAGATATAAATATTAAGAAATGTAAAGGTAGGCAGATTTGATTTATATTAAGAAAAAATAACCTGTGGAGCCAGATAATAAAGCTAAGCTTCAACTGTAGCTTTTTCCCCTCAAAATATCAAAATATCTGTGCTCTTTGCGAAAAACTGGAAAAATACAATAAATATAAAAAGCTGGGAGGAAATTCATTAATCATAACCGGTAATATTTAGCATACTTTGCATATTTTAGTCTGTTTACTGTTTTTATAAACATAGATGAGATCACATTACACCTATAATTCCATATTAACTTATAAGCATTTTCCTATGTCATGAAAAACTCTTCATGAATAAAAATTTTAGTGGTTTTAATAATATTGCATCATAATTTACATAATCCATCTCTCTAGTGTTGGTTTTATACTATGGAAAATACTGTGATTAACATCTTTATGCACATATCTACATTCACACTTCAGATTTTTTTCCATTATGGCAGGTTCTTAAGAGGGAATAACTGCAATAAAAGGGATCAGTATCTTTAAATATTTCAAAATCACTACCAAACTGCTTTCCAGAAAGGTTAGAATACATTTTATTTCCATTGGAAGTATATGAAGGTTTAAGTCTTATAGCACAGACCCATTTCACACCAGCCTTGAGGATTAAAATTTTTAAAAGTCAGTGCTAATTTGATGGGTATAACATGGCATCTCATTGTTTAATTATTTATGGTTTTAACCATTTTTATTATCACACACAAAAAGTAATGTGCAAAAAACAAATGTACATTTCAATAAATTTTCACAAAACATCCATGCAGCTACTATCTAGTCAAGAAACAGAACACTGCCAGCACCCAAAAGTCTCTCTGATGCCCACTATCACGAGCCCTTTTGTCCCCCCATCGTCCTTTTAATACTATGTCATCTTACCTGTTTTTAAACTTTAAATAAATGAAATACGTGATATGTGTTTTGTTTCTTTCACTCAACACTGTGAAATTCATCCTAATTTTTTTTTTTGTATATAGCTGTGGTTCATTTATTTTCATTGCTCTATGGTTTTCCACTCCATTTCCATTATGAATACATAATTTATCCATTCTACTACTGATGAACATTTGACCTATATCCAGATTTTAACTACTAATGATAATACTGCTGTTGAGAATTCTTGTGCATGACTCTTAATGCACGTGTGCATGCATTTCTGCTGGGTCTACCTAGCAGAGGAATCGCCGGGTCATAAGGTATGTGTACGTTCAACTTTAGAAGATAATGACCAACAGTTTTCCAAAGGGACATTCCAGCTTACACTTTCAATACTGTTTATATGATGGTGTAATTTACCAAAGCTCATACGCCCATATATTTTCAGTGACAATAGTATAGTAACAGTAAACTGTGCTACTTATTCTTTTTTGTCAACAATATGTGTACACAGCATCTACTAGGGTTTCTGTCCTAAAAGAACTCGATCGAGTCAGGGAGAGTGATAGGAAAAGCTACAGTATCTGTGGTACGTGCAATAGTGTAGTGGCTGAACAAGAGGGGGTGTGTGGTTGTCTCTGCTGGGTGAGCGTGGGAAAGCTTCACAGGACAGAAGACAGTCTAGTCTTAGAGGATCAATGTGTCTGCTAGGGGGGAGTTACCCATTCTAAGCAAAGGAAACTGTACAAACAAATGTGTGGCTGCGTATTTAACTTCAGGTATGGCTGGAGCACAGGCAGTTTATGAGGGAATGATGAGAGAGGACATCAGAAAAAGGTACACAGGGCCAGACTGAAGTAATGGGTTCCAAGGGGCTTTGGCAGGCTGTGAAGCAGGAAGGTTTGTATGAGCCAATTTTGTGTTGTAGGAGAAATCATTCTGGCGGCAGTGGGAAAGAAGGATTGGAAGGTGGTAATACTGAAAGGGAGATAATTACACTACTTTAGGCAAAAGATCCTAAAGGCTTGGGCAAAGGGATGGGGATAAAGAATAGTGGAAAAGAGGAGCTCTAATAAGATGAAATGTGGAATTCACAGGACTTAGAAACTGGATGAGGGAACTGGTGGAGAAAGTCTAGGATGGCACTTATATTTCTGTTTTGAGAAAGGGTGAATGGTGAGGCTAGTAACTCCCCCAGATGGGGAAAATGGGAAGAGATCTAGCAGGTTTAGGGGCAAGATTTTTCTAGGAATCTCTTACAAAAACTTATTTTTTGTTCATAGGTGAGAGGACAGGAAAAACACCCAGCGGTCTTCATGAATGAAGAAGAAAGTTTTAAAATTGTATTTAGAATGCTAAACAGATACATACTTCCATGTCTCATAGCGATGCTAGAGACACTTGAAAGTTTTTGTTTTGTTTGTTTTTTCTAACTTGCTCTCCTTCACTTTTGGTTTTAGTTTCCAACAGCTCTTCATGTGTAGGGAAGCCCTTATGCAAACAAATTCACTACTTTATTGAAGCGCTATATTCATTGCATCTCACATATTTGTAACAGTATAACTGGTACTTATTATTCACTAACCTTTTTGGGAACTATATACATATATTTTCTAATTGTTAGTCATGATCTATACCTCAGGTTGGGTTTTGAGTTTATGACTTTTGTGGGGCAATGTGGAATGATGAGATAAAATGGAAGACAGACACATAAATGTTACAAAGAGATTGACTACTTACTTGTCTCTAAGAACAACACCTTCAATACAGGCACCAAAAAGGACAACATTGCTTAAATCTACCATACTGAGAGTCAAGGAAGCTGACCTACAACCCTCTGAGATAGAAAGTAAACACTCAGGATATTTCTTCTATCAGTAAAATGATGTGCTAGATTCACTAATGTTGTCAATTCTTTCTTGAATTTTAGAGCTGAGGTGGATAGATTATCTGGTGAGAAGTGAGCTGGTAGAAAGCAGATATCTTTATTAGCAGGATAAAAATATTGATCAGCCTCATTCCACAGATGTGCCTATGACTAAAACTCAGGCTGGATCCATGAAAAGGATACAGACAAAGGAGGTGGTCAGGATGGCAAGGATAGTGCCAATGGGAATAGACTTCTGAGCATCCTTCAGGTCTCCAGATCTGTTTGATCCAGCCATGATACCTTTAGAGGGAAAAAAGAACAAGTTACCTTCTTAGTTCCTGGATACTTCGATATTCATGCGGATACCAAAGATTGGAAGCAAATCTGAAAAGCCTGAGAATATAATTCTGTCTCTTAAGAAAAATCACTCCTTTGGTCTCCTAACTTCTAAAGCAGACAACAGCCCTTCTGCTTACCTGTGACAGAGGGGAAGAAGATCCCCACCAGAAGAGTAAAAGAGGTGGTGATGTCAACAAGGACATATTCATGGTTTAAACTGCCTAAGACATCAGAAGATTTGGCTGAGGGCTTTTCAATGATCTCTCCCTTTGGTAGGTAATTACTCCAAAGATTCTCTGCAGTGGGAAGAAAAAGGTATATAAGCAACAGAAGTATGGAAAGAAGATAACTAGGTAATTTTCTACCTAAACAATATTCTAAATCAGATTCCTCATTTATATAGTTTTTAAAGGTATGTTTGCTTCTACATGAACACATATATATCATACAATAAAGAACACATAAATAAAAACCTAATGCTCTTTCTCATCTGATTCAAATGTAATTTGACAGAATGCTTTGGTACATACAAATGCAGTTAAATTTACAAATGCAAATTAGTAGAAGTTAAGTGGACTAAAGATGAATGCTCAGAAAAGCTTATTTTTCTTTTAACTTAGTATCAGTGCTATTTCTAACACCTTAGTGTAAACTTGCTTACGCACAAAGACATTTGTGGACCAATCATTTAAGATAGAAGTCACTTAAGGCAAGAGTTTCAGAAACTGGGCTGAGCGAGGAAAACAGCATGTGTGGATGTGGTGACACTGCAAGCTCCATCTGGCTGTCACTGTGGGAAGAAGACCGCAGTCTCACAGTGTGACACACAGGGTACTGTATTACTACATCCGACTTCAAAAAGTGATTTGCCTAGCTCTGCTCTCAGAAGGAGGGAAATTTTATTTTATTTTTTAAAAATATTTTATTTATCCATCAGAGAGAGGGAGAGTGAGCGAGCGAGCACGAGCAGGGGGAGCGGCAGGCAAAGGGAGAGGGAGAATCAGGCTCCCCGCTGAGCAAGGAGCCGGATGTGGGGCTCGATCCCAGGACCAAAGGCAGGCGCTTAACGACTGAGCCACCCAGGCGCCCCCAAAGGAGGAATATTTTAGCAGAAAGCGTCACAAGAGAGTTTGAAAAAGGATAAGTTCACTAACAGAAAAGCAGAAAGACGTTGAATGTAGAGGGGGGTGCTGAGCTTAAGGAGGCTAGGGATACTGTGGCAGTGAGACATCGTGGACAAAAGAAGACACTACGATCGAAAAGCCTGCTTTCCTGAGCAGATTAAAAAACTTGTTCAAAAACCTCCTGACTTACCTGTAATGACACCACTAGCCAAGCCAGGAATGCCCTGAATTGAAGTGACATTATTATGAATAAAGTATTCATCACAGGTGGCATTGAAAAACTGACTTGAGTTACAGAAGAAGCCCCATAACTTTGACGGTACTGTCATGTTGTTAATTTCCTTGGTCTTAGAGCAAATATCAATGTGTCTTGATGAAAGGGTGCGGTTACCCAGCATGCAGACCCTAAGTGAAAACACAGAGAAAGATGAAGGGTAAAAAAAAATAAATTAATTAAAAAAATTAAAAAAAGGTAGGTAGGTTAGAAATAGGTTAGTAAATAGGTTAGTAATGGAAAAAACAAAACAAAAAACCCTCATCTCTAAGAGGACGTGAAAGGACCTAATACTTACTGACTTGTTCTGTAGATGGAGATTTATTTACATTTCCTGCAATTTAATCCTGACAGCCATCTCACAAAATATGCATTAGTATTTCTATGTTGTGGATGGAGGAACTGAAGTTTAGGGCAATAAAGTAGTCTACCCGAGTCATACTGGTAGCAGGGTGATAGAATTCAAACAGAATAACTGTCTGAAGACACTGTGCTTACTCTTCTTCCAAATTTTCTAGATTATTAACCAATTGTTAGATCTAAAAGCATCCTACAATCCTTTTGTTCTTTCTAAAAAAAAAAAAAAAAAATTCCCCTAATTTTTTGGCCTAGAAAAGCCTATGTTCATAACAACCCCTTTGAAAATGTTATACTCAAGGTCAAATCTTCTGGCTACTGTTTCAAGAAAGACAGCTTGGCTGGAATAAAAAGCACATCCCACTATGGCCTAAGAGAAAACTATTTTTGAATGTAAGCCTAGACCCAGTGGGAGTGAAGGTATTTAAGGATATTACAAATAATAACTGCTGATTTTATTTTTTTCTTTAACCCAGAGCTATAAATATGAACAAAAGAATAATACTCCCACAGTTAAAGTACCTCTCAAGAGGAACAAAGAACTTTTTAAATCTGTAAAAATGACAGCATACATACATAATGAACCATGTACCCATTACTCAGCTTCAACAACTCAATACTGCCCAGTCTTGTTTCATGCATTGCTCTAGCGAATTTGGTCTTGTTCTGCTGGAATATTTTAAAGAAAATACCACATATCATGACCTTTTACCCACCAAAAAAGAGAAGCATCAAAGGAGAACTTCAGGCAAAATGGAATTTCTCAAGTTAAGATATCCAGAATATAGCCTTCAGTACTTTCGGCTAGTCTGCAGTCCCTAAATGAGCAGACTAAAAGTTGATGATGGAATCTATCACTGATATCATTTAGCAAAGAAGAAATACTGGACCAGGAGTTAGGAAATCAAAGCGTTCATATTCTTGTTCTGCCATTAACTAACTTTGGGGCGAGTCATTTAATCTCTATAGATCTGGTTTTTTCATCTCAAAAAAACTATTTTTCTGTAATCAGGTTAAATCGACATAGGAGTGAGGAGTTTGATACCTAGATAATCCAGATGACTTTTTATTTTTTATTTTTATTTTTTAAAAGATTTTATTTGAGAGAGAGAATGGGAGAGAGAGAGCACATGAGAGGGGGGAGGGTCCGAGGGAGAAGCAGACTCCCCGCCGAGCAAGGAGCCCGATGTGGGACTCGATCCTGGGACTCCAGGATCATGACCTGAGCTGAAGGCAGTTGCTTAACCAACTGAGCCACCCAGGTGCCCTCCAGATGACTTTTTAAAGACAATCTCTGTAACAAGATTACAAACACCTCTCAGTGCTAGCTAATCATTATGCCACCAGTCAAACAGAGAACAGGTGACCGGAGAGTCACCTATCTGTACAAATCCATTACTACTTAAAAAAATAAACTTTAATGTACCTGCATTACTTATGTTATATCATACAATCTCTACATAGAGATATATATATACGTAAAAATGTGACATTTATTTCTCTTTATTTTATAACCAGGAAGTCTGCTATGGTATTAACAGCAGGTTAAAAAGTTTAATTAATTACAAATATTTAGGTAGGAATTTAGGTTTCTTTGATTCTCTTGATATTTTATTAATAAGAGGAATCCAACATTTGTACTTTACAAAGCTTGCTGGTAATAACTATACTATCGTAAAGCTCTTCATGAATAGTTGTTCAAATATACACAATCATTTTAAGGAGGTTTTGAGAAAAACCTAGTATCTATATCCAAATGATGTTTAGAGCTGCCAGTTCCATGCTTGGGACATAAGGAAGAGGATCAACATGAGAAGTCTGCTGGGAGGCTTCCTGCCTAGATGCTAAATGAGCTCATCCACGAGAGAAATCTCCGGGAGATTGAAACTGTACTTGAGGTGATCACATCACCAGACACTGTCACGGACTACCCAGTAACTGATGGCCGGTCAGAGAGACAGACACGTACGGGAAGTGTGGAGGGGCAAAAGAAGACTTGATGGCTCCAGCATAGATGGCCAAGATGGACACAATGACACAGGCCAGGAAAAGTGAGGCAAATTTGTTCACGTAGCGTACACCGATGAACACCACCAATACCATGAGGACCAAGAAGGCTGTGCCATAGACACGCATGTTATTGAGCATGGCTGCTGATTCCTTGAGTGCATCATCGCTACGAAAGATCGCAGCTCGGGGGACAATATATACCTGTTAAGCAAAAGAAGTAGAAAATGAGGTCATTTCAAAGTCTTCAAGTAAAAGGGTTGTTGTACTTTGCATTTGCTTTCACACAGCAAAGCAAAGCTAAGATAGAAAATGACTGGAGACTTAACCTAATTCCTACAGAAATTGGATATCATTTATGTTTTTTTTTTTAAGGCTACATGCTATTCTGAATACCTACATTTCCAAATAGAAACAGCAAAAAAAAGCATTAGTAATTTATTCAAAGGGTTATATAAAATAATTGTAATGATTATCTTGATTCCTATCTCATTATTCCTACTTACTTATGATTATTTTAAATAGTAAAAAAAATATTCCAGTGAATAAAGAAATGAAAAACATTTTATTTCATTGGGATGAAGATATCAAAAAAGATAAAAACTTTTATTTTTTCCGATGCAAGTCTTGCCTTGATCAAGACTTTAACTTCTTGGATGAAGTGGTAGGGTGTTGGTGAATGGGTGGTAGGGAAGCAGTATTCAGGCAAAGGATACTCTCAACCTTTCTGACTTATGTTCACAAGAGGAAGTCAATAACAGGTTAACAGTCAATCACTTGATTGATTCTATAATGGATCTCTCAAAAGTTTTGCTTTCTTTCAAACAACAAAATAAATCCAAATCTCTATCGTTTCTACACTGTAGACCACAATTAAGCTATTACTCACCAGAAAAATTTCAATGGCACCAAGGATATACATGGCAGCTGCAAATGTGGTACCAAGATAAAAGCAGAGGCCAACAGCCCCACCAAACTCTGGGCCCAGTGCTCTGGAAATCATAAAGTATGAGCCCCCAGCTAAAAGACAAAACAGAATGTAAGCAGGATAAAGAAAGTACATCAGTAAGAAGAATGTAAACAAGTCATAAATAAGAAGGATAAATGTTTCAAGTTTTTCAAAACTCTGAATGTGATAAAAAGTAGATTTGCTAATGGGAAGTAAAAGATAAAACCTTTATGGTAGAATATGCTGAACATCTAATGCTCCTCATGAAGTAGCACAATTTGTCAGTATTAGTTAGATAACCATCAAAGAATATTTACTACAGGCATGAGACAGCCCAATAAAATATATTCTAACTAAAAAGAAGCTAGGAAGGTGATACAAATTAAGGATTCTAGCTTAGAACACGATGAGATTTTTTCCTTTTTCTTTTAATTGAAGTATAGTTGACATAAATGGTATATTAGTTTCAAGTGTACAACATAGTGATTTGACGATTCTGTACATTCTGCACACCACAGAAAGTGTAGTTCCATCTGTCACCATACAATGTTATTACAATATTACTGAATGTATTCCCTATTCTGTACTTTTCATCCCTGTGACTTATTTTGTAACTGGAAGTTTGTATCTCTTATTCCCTCTCACCTATTTTGCCCATTCCCCCCATTCCTCTCCTCTCTGACAACCACCAGTTTGTTATTTATGAGTCTGTTTTTTTGTCTGTTTATTTCTTTGGATTCCACATATAAGTAAAATCATATGGTATTTGTCTTTCTCTGTCTGACCTATTTCACTTGCATAAAGTGGATCTCTAGGTCCACCTGTGTTGTCACAAATGACAAGATTTTGTTCTTTTTTATGGTTGAATAATATTCTGGTGAGTGTGTGTGTGTGTGTGTGTGTCTCCACATCTTCTGTATTCATTCATCTACTGATGGGCACTTAGGTTGCTTCCATATCTGGGTTATTGTAAATAATACAGTAAAAACCAGAGGGGTGCATGTATTTTTTTGAATTACTGTTTTTGTTTTCTTCAGATACATACCCAGTAGTGAAATTATTGGACTGTGTGGATTTCTATCTTTAATTTTTTGAGGAATCTCCATGCTGTTTTCCAAAGTGGTTATACCAGTTTATATTCCCACCAACAGTGAGTGAGGGTTCCCCTAGTTTACAACATAAAGAGATTTTTAAAGAATGTATTCTAAAGTCAAACAGTGTGAATGTCTATGACCAAGAGACTAAATAGTATTCTAGTCCTCAGAAGTTTGCACTTCTGACTTGATAGCATAAACATACAGTAGTTGTTGACAATCCCTGAAATCCAGCCTACTGACCTGGCACCACTCCATTTGTGGCAATGGCACTCATGGAGATAGCAGTCAACATTGTCTGTAAAGGAAGTGAAGGAGAAGATTGTTACTGTAGTTCTGTACTATTTTCCTGTCTGTGGGCCTCAGAGCACTTTCTGAAAAATTAACTCTTCCTACCTTTATGGAGGGAGTTGGCGGCCATTCCTAATATTATGGAAATGAGATGATGTGGTTCAACTCATTGCCCTAGTCACATTACTGTTATCTTGAGTATTCTGTTAAAATGCTTCTATATCATAAGCAGTAGGTTAGTTGCTAGTAGGAGCCACTGATCTCACCCTGGTCTCCTAGTTCACTTGGAAAACAGATTAGAAACTGACTAAGGACTAGCTACAATTACAAGAACAATATTCAGTAAGGAGGGGAACCACTGCAGACTTCTGAAATAATAAAAACCGTATTTTGAAAACATTACCTGGGAGCAGCATAGAATGGACTGCAGATAGGGAGCAGATGAAGGCAGAGTGACTTGTTAGTAGGCTATTAGAGTTCAGTGAAAAGTAAGGACTGTAGTGCTAGTAACAGAAATATAAAGGAAGGGTTGTATGTAAGAGATTTCAGAGGGAGACATGATTGACCTTGGTAGCTGATTAGATGTGAGAAGCAATCAAGGAGCCAAACATGGCCCTGAAGTTTTAAGACTAAGAAACAGAAAAAAAAGAAAAAGGTAGTACTATTAATTTTAAGTTATTAATGATACAAACTATGTCTTCTTATCCTGCTTTATATAGCACTCAGCTGAGCATAATGTACCAGGAGGGTATAATAATGATAGTAATTAAAGAGGCCAGAAGTTGAATAAAAAAATAAAAAATTTTAATAATAATCAACTTATAATAAAATTGATAGATGTGGCTGGGACATGTGGATAAGAGGAGTTTAAATTCAAACAAGATCAGAATGTTCTCAGTACAGTGGGGAGAAGACCTGGAAAGCACACCTGAATTTCTGGGGAAGGGGTAACAGATGAGACTTCAAAACAAAACAAATACCCCTCACCCCAAACAACAATCAGTTTTGTTCCTCAATACTATACTGGAGTAGTACATCATCATTTTCTAACTTTGGTGCTATCAAACTCCAATGGTTTGTATTCTGAATTCTTTGAATCAAGGACTACATCTTCCACCTCCTCTAAAAGTCTTCCTTTGTAATTTCTAGTACATCATATTACGCATATAAGCAGCAAAGACTGGACACTAAATAACTGAAAATCCTTCAGAGTTTAATATCAAAATAATGTCTCCTGTTGAGATCATGAGTCTTTCCCGAATAGTCTTTGTGTTATTCTCAAATAAGTCAAGTGCATATAATCTTGAGCTCCTGCAATGTTCCAGGTGATCTCTAAGAGCCAACTAGGGACTTACACAGCAGCAGCAGATAAGGACAATTGCAAAGGCCTGAAGAACTCCAGCTGTGCCCACGACCCATGTAAGGCGTAGAAACAAGATCACTCCAAAAATATTTTGTAGGCATGGGAGGTAGACACCCATGAAAGTACCCATTTGAGGGGTCTGCAAAGAAAGATGTTGACAAAAGAAAAATTACATAGTCATCTAGAAGAGATGCTTTTATCCCTTTATTTGTATATAAAAACTTGCTCCCTAACTACCATCTTACTTACAAAACACATAATTAGTGTAATCAATATCTTAAAAGAGGCACATATAAAATCTCCATCTTATAAATGATCACATTATTCCTAGAGCTATACATTTTTACTTTACACAGGTCCCCATATGTTTTTACATGGGCATTTGACCACAAACTTTTAAGTGTACCCCCAACAATTAAAATGTTCTGTTCTTTGAAGCTATTAGCTTTTCCTTTTTTTTTTTAAAGATTTTTTTATTTATTCATTCGAGACACAGAGAGAGAGAGAGAGAGAGAGAGGGAACACAAGCAGGGGGAGTGGGAGAGGGAGAAGCAGGCTCCCCGCTGAGCAGGGAGCCCGATGTGGGGCTCGATCCCAGGACCCTGGGCTCATGACCTGAGCCGAAGGCAGACGCTTAACCATCTGAGCCACCCAGGTGCCCCTTTTTTTTTTAAGATTTTTAAGTAATCTCTACAACCAACGTGGGGCTCGAACTCACAAGCCTGAGATCAAGAGTCGCATGCTCCACTGACTGAGTCAGCTAGGTGCCCCTAGCTTTCCCTTTTCATTTAAAAACTGAATAATGATTTGATGGACTTCCTTCAGAGTTTGGCATAAATCCTCATGGTAGCTGGTAAATGCAGTTGGTAAAATGAAGATCTGAGGGTCATTTTATCCCTAAACAACCAGAAAGCTAACCTGTAATATGGTTCCATATTTTCATTTTGAGAAAAACTGAAATTTAGTCTTTGAAAAACCCCATCACTTGACAACAGAGAGATGGCATCAGCAGATGGGTGTGAACCCTCTTCTTCTGAAGTGCTATTCCCTGTCCCTGGAATGCTCTTCCCCCAACTAAGGGGCTCATTGTGTCACATTGGTTAGGCCTCTGCTCAAACATCACCCTGTCAGAAAGGGCCTTCCCTGACCAACCTCTCTACAACAGCAACCCCCTCTGCCCTGGCTCTCCTGCTGGCCAGTTTCAGTGTCTTTATCCTGCCTTTTTAAAAAAAATGAATTAATTATTGAAGTTAACACACAATGTTACATTAGTGTTCAACAAAGTGATCTGACAAGTCTTTGCATATGTTATGCTATGCTCATCACAAGTGTAGCTACCATCTGTCCCTGCTTATATTTTTGTTAGACCATCGTCAATACGTAATATACAGTTTAACAACTATCTCCTCATACTAGAATTTAGATTGCATGAGAGCAGGACATTGTATGTTCTGTTTTTGCTATGACCTGCCCAGAACAGTGCCTGGCATATATCAAGCATTCAATAGTTACTGAGCATAAAGTGATGCCCTGGATATTTCCTCCTTTCTTATATATGGGACTCTTTTTATTTATCCTTGTTATTTGAAGGCCTCACCTTAGTGGGCTTCTTTTTCCCCTCAGTGATGTTCTCTGCCTCTTCATGTTCCTTCGCTCCTTGTGTCAGATTAGTATAATTGGCCATACGGTTGAGGAGAGAAGATACCTTTGGTCTGGTGTCCATTTCTTCCTATAAAGCCAGAGACATGGAAGAAATGAGTAATAAAGAACACTGGAAATAAGCATCAATGTGGCCCTCTACCAGAAAATTGCAAATTAAATGAGAAAATACATCACAGGTAAATATTTTAAGAAAATTTATAAATGAGGTTTTATTCTCCTCCCACATTAAAATAGCAATCAGGACTATACAAATCCTTATAAAATTCTTAAGTGAAAAGCTTTATCATTCTTTCTAATGGCTTAACTTTACAGTAAAAATAAAATCACACTGGCCCCTACAGACAGCTGTAACCTTGAAAAAAACATTGATAATATTACCTTTAACTATAGTGCCCCTTTCTTTAGGCTACCAACATTTTTTTTTTTTTTTTTTTTTTAAGTAGGCTCCACGCCCAGCATGGAGCCCAGTGTGGGGCTTGAAATCACAACCCTGAGATCAAGACCTGAGCTGAGGTCAAGAGTCGGATGCTTAACTGACTGAGCCACCCTGGCATCCCTAGGCTACTAACATTCTAATAACACTTACGGCTATTATTTATGGCACCAAGCACAGACAGCTCAATAAAAAACTTTTGTGACTGAACTAAATATCTATCTCAGATCTTTTCTTGAAGGAAACTGAAAGAAGATACCATTTAAAAAACAGGTACACTAAGAGAACTGGAACTTGCATCATTGTCCAAAGCCAGACACAAAGGCAGTGCTGGACCAAAGCAGGCTCCTTTCAACTATCCGACTGCAGAGCCCGTCAGAGTCCATATGGTCTTGGGTAAGACATACAGACAGGCCCTCTTAATCTGGCAGCCTATTTCCTACACTGATTTTTCTTTTAGTAGTTCTAAGGTAAATGATGGTCTTCCCAAACACAGAGTTGAAAAATACTCTATTTTATACTTCATAGATAATTCCAATGCAAATATTTAAATCTTAGCTGAATTAGACAGCAAGGTTCTCCATGCCTGTGATGTCAACATTCTTCCTCAATTCACAGAAATCTGATTTAATGGCTACTTATTAGTTAGTGATAATTAGATTATATAGAGTAAATCAACTACAATGACAAGTTATAGTATTATATTTTAACAAGCAGTTCTTAAAATTATCCAGCCTGTACTGTTTTAAAACTAAATGGGATAGAAAACCGCTATCCTGAAATCTCTGTTCCTGAAATTTCTGCCCTAGATTTCTCCCAAATATTACCTCAAAGAGTGCCAAGTTTTTATCAAAATATTCATCTCCTTCTTCATAATTGGAATTGTTGAGATAAGCATTTCGAGCTTTCTTATGCCCATCATCTGGAAAAGAAAAAAAGGAAATCAAGTTAGTTTCTCATTGGTATTAAAGAAGTATCAGCACCAAATAACTTCATTTGCCTTTTAGAATCCATTTTCATATTCAAATTTTAATCTGAGAGTGGGAGAACTCAAATTAGCCAGGCTTAGAGAATGTGGCTGCCTCCAGAACAGGAGCAAAAATAAATCTAAGAGGTAAACAAGAGGAAGGTTTAACAGTACAAAGACCTCTGGAAACACTATTCTTTTTAGGATTCTAGCCTATAGGACTCTACTCTTAAAGTCACTAAAACCTAGAATAAAATTTTTAGCAAGTACTTACTGAGCTATTTTACTTTTGAAATTTTCTTTAACTTTTTACCTGCGGTATATATAATTATAATCTCTTAAAGTCACTAAAACCTAGAATAAAATTTTTAAAGAAAATTTTTTCATTATAGAAACATTCTAGCTAATAAATGTGGAATTTAAGAAACAAAACAAATGAGCATAGGGGGAAAAAAGAGAGACAAACCAACAAACAGACTCTTTTGTTTCAAGTTTTTATTTAAAGTCTAGTTAACATATAGTGTAATATTAGTTTCAGGAGAAGTTAGTGATTCATCACTTACATATAACACCCGATGCTCATCACAAGTGCCGTCCTTAATGCCCATCACCCATTTAGCCCATACCCTGCCCACCTCCCTCCTTCTCTATAGGTCAGAGTCTATTTTATGGGTTGCCTTTTTTTTTTCTTTCCCCTATGTTCATCTGTTTTGTTTCTTAAATTCCACATATGAGTGAAATCATATATTTGTCTGACTGGCTTATTTCGCTTAGCATAATACATTCTAGCTCCATCCACACTGTAGCAAATGGCAAGCTTCCTTTTTTACAGTTGAGTAATATTCCATTCTGTGTATCATCAGTTGGTGGACACTGGGGCTCTTTCCATAATCTGGCTATTGTTGATAATGCTGCTATAAACACTGGAGTGCAGGTGCCCCTTCGAATCAGTATTTTTGCATCCTTTGGGGTAAATACCTAGCAGTACAATTGCTGGGTTGTAGGGTAATTCTATTTTTAACTTCTTGAAGAACCTCCACACTGTTTTCCTGAGTGGCTGCACCAGTTTGCATTCCCACCAACAGTGTAAGAGGGTTCCCCTTTCTCCACATCCTCGCCAACATCTGTTGTTTCCTGTACTGTTAAATTTAGCCATTCTGACAGGTGTGATATCTCACTGTAGTTTTTTAAATTTGTTTTTCATTTGTTTATTGTTTAACTTAAAAATATTTACTGAGTACTAGAGACAAAGCAGTCAAACGGGATGCTTCAGCCAGTTTTCAAGGACTAGACCAGTTCCCTTTAACTTGACTTCAGAAATTTCTGGCTTAGCTCTATACATATAGTTTTTTTTAACAGCTTTATTAAAATATAATTTACACATCAAACAATTCATTGATTAAAAGTATACAATATTAGAGTTTTGGGTATATTACATTATTAATTTTTTAAAATGTGGTAAAATCAAACAAAACTTGCAATTTTAACCATTTTTAAATGTACAAATCAGAAGCATTACATTCACGATGTTGTACAACCATCACCACTATCTGTTTTCCAAACTTTTTAACCACCCCGCATAAGCTGATTTCTTTTTTTTTTTTTTTTTAAGTAGGTTCCTCACCCAGCATGGAACCCAACTCAGGGCCTGAACTCACAACCATGAGATCAAGACCTGAGCCAAGACCAAGAGCCAGACACTCAACCAACTGAGCCACCGAGGCAGCCCCATCCCCTACATAAACTGATTTTTAAAATATTTCTTTTGAATTGATGGAAAAGTCTTACTCTTCTCAGTTCTACCACCGGACACAATGCCCCTTTTAAGATCCCAATGTGTTCTTCATCCTAACTTTTATTGGAACTCATATCAGTCCTAACACGTGCTATCCCTAAATAAGTTCCTCAATTTCTTCAACACTCATAACTACAACTTTTAGAACAGAGATGCACCCCCAGAGAGCTATGCTTTGTCTTCTAAGCTTAACTTCGCTGACTCATTGTAGTTTTGGTTTGTATTTCCCTGATGATGAGTGATGTTGATCATCTTTTCATGTGTCTGTTAGCCATCTGTATGTTTCTTAACTAGAGAGAACAAACTGATGGTCACCAGAGGGGAGGTGGGTAGGGGGATGGGTGAAACAGGTGATGGGGATGAAGAGTACACTTACGATGAGCACTGAGTCATGTACAGAATTGTTGAATTACTATACTGTACACCTGAAACTAATTTAACACTGTATGTTAACTAACTGGAATTTAAACAAAAAAATGTTTAATGCATATGGAATAATTAGGGAAAAAAAATCACCAATTTTCAACTCCTAATGAAATAATGGGTCTAGGCAATCACCATCGATAGTTGCTATAAACCCATTAGATGAAAGGCTGAGATGTAACTTTATAATGGATGGGTCAGGATGATCTGAACTCAATGATCAATCTCAACATCGCTAAAAGTGGACAATATAACTGCACAACCTGTGATGTATTCCTACCAAAAGAATGGAAGTTGAATCTAATCAAACCTCTAAATCTAACGACCAGTTCACGAAAAACAGAGGAGGAACATGTTAAACACCACCACAAAGATAGTGCAATCATCAAATTCAAAATGTGAGAAATTCTACATGCTAAATAATCTGACTTATTCAACAAATAAATGGCATAAATTAAAAAAGGTGATTTCATAAATTAAGACTTAAAATGATGCATCAACCAAGTGCAAGGTGTGAAACTTGTTAGAATCCTGACTCAAATCAAATGTAAAAAGACAATTCTTTTTTTTTTTTTTAAATATTTTATTTGACAGAAACACAGCGAGAGAGGGAACACAAACAGGGGGAGCAGGAGAGGGAGAAGCAGGCTTCCCACCGAGCAGGGAGCCCCATGTGGGGCTCGATCCCAGGACCCCGGGATCATGACCTGTGCCGAAGGCAGATGCTTAACGACTGAGCCACACCCGGGCGCCTTGTAAAAAGACAATTCTGAGGGGCGCCTGGGTGACTCAGTCGTTAAGCGTCTGCCTTCAGCTCAGGTCATGATCCCAGGATCCTGGGATCGAGCCCCACATTGGGCTCCCCGCTCCGCGGGAGGCCTGCTTCTCCCTCTCCAGCTCCCCCTGCTTGTGTTCCCTCTATGGCTGTGTCTCTCTGTCAAATAAAAAAATAAAATCTTAAAAAAAAAAAGACAATTCTGAAAGAGAGAAATTTAAATATAAATTTTTTTTTTAAAAAAAAGGTAAATAAAATCATGTGATGGAATTTTCTTTAAGATATTCCAGGAAAAAATTAGGTAGGGCTTGAAAACAGATTCTCAACATTGTTAAAACTGAGTGATGGCTTCATGGAGGTTCATTATGCTATTCTATCTGCTCTTCTAGACCTTTGGAAATTTCCACAATAAAAAGTTATTTATTTATTTATTTATTTTTAAAGATTTTATTTATTTATTTGACAGAGAGAGACACAGTGAGAGAGGGAACACAAGCAGGGGGTGTGGGAGAGGGAGAAGCAGGCTTCCCCCTGAGCAGGGAGCCCGATGCGGGGCTCGATCCTAGGACCCTGGGACCATGACCTGAGCCGAAGGCAGACACTTAACGACTGAGCCACCCAGGCGCCCCGATAAAAAGTTATTTAAAAAAAAAAAAGGAAAATGTAATTTTTTTCTTCTCTCTACTGGTTCCATAAAATTCTAAAGAGAATGACAGAGCTTAAAATTATCACCACTTTGGAGTAATTCATTTATTCAATTAATTCACCAAGCATTTATTAAGTTTGTATACATCGGTGTGCTAGGCACTCTAGGTCCTGGGGATATAGCATTAGACAAAGCAGTTAAAGATGTTGCTTTCATTGTGTGTATATGTGTATACTGAAGTCACAGAAGACTGTTAAAAACACATACACACACATACAAAACTAATTTATAGTATTAGCCAATTTCCATGGTGTAAATATTCACACATGCCAATTTTAAACTACTAACAAAATCCAGGCATATACTGTTTACAAGAGACATATAATGACACGTAAAAGCTGAAAGTAAAGAGATCTATCAGGCAAATAGAAACCAAAAAAAAAGCTGATATGGTTTTATTATCACCAGATAAATTTTTCTTTAAGGGGAAAACTTTATTTTGGATGAGAGGGTAACCAAATAACAAAAGGGTGAATTCACCAAGAAAGCAGTTTATAATTTTTTTTTTTTTTGAGAGAGAGAAAAGAATGAGCGCATGAGACAGGGAGAGGGGCACAGGGAGAGGAAGAGGGAGAAACTTAAGCAGGGCTCCATCTCACGACCCTGAGATCATGACCTGTGCCAAAATCGAGTCAGACACTTAACTAACTGAGCCACCCAGGCCCTGCAAGAAAGTATTTTAAACATACGACTATGGTTTATAGTTATCTTTCGGTATAATAAATTACTCCCAAATTTAGTGGCTTAAACGCACACTTTTATCTCACAGTTTGTGTGGGCTAGCAATATGGGCAAGGCTTAGCTGAGCCCCCTGCTTCAGTCTACGAAGCTCCAATCAAAGCTCTGCCAGGACTATGGTCTCATTTGAAGGCCTGGGGAAGAGCCACCTCCAAGCTCACGGACACAGTTGTTGGCAGGATTCACTTTCTTTCAGGTTGTTGGCCAAGGGCCTCTCTTGGTTCCCAGCCACGTGGGCCTTTCCATAGGACAGTTTTCAGCATGGCAGCTGGATTCCCTCAAAGCAAGTCATCAAAGAGAGCCAGAGAGAGAGTACAAGACAGATGTCACAGTCTTTTTGTGATCTCATTTTGAAAGTGACATTGCTTTTGCCATTTTCTATTAATTAGAAGTCCAGCCCTCACTCAAAGGGCAGAGGCTGTGATCTTGGTCTATAACAAAAGTTGTTAGAATTTAATTGTGAAAAGATAAATTTTTAAATCCTTCCAAATTTAGAAATTAGAGAAAATACACTGCAA